TGAACAGATAAACACACTGTATCTGACATTTTCAATTACAATTTGAGACGCTTTCATATGTGGTACTGAAATCGAATCCATATACGATCTGTGGCGATGTGATTTAGTCTGAACAGCCAGATTGGAATTAATGCAACTTTTACGCCAGTCCAACTCGACATTCTTCAAAATTTTGTGCTGCCGAGACTCAGAAACATTTGGGGTGATGTTTCTGTACAAAAAATTAGAAGAGACTCATCAAATCCCTTCATGTTTGAAGAGATTTTGAAAGAAATGTCTGAACACAGCCGTAAGAGAACGAAGCTGCAGCGTCAAAGAACAGTTAAAAGTCTAAAAGCAAAGTTTAAAGAATCTGAGGACACGAACCAAAAAAGTGACCGCGCCCTTTTTATGGCTCGAAAACATTCTGGGTGAAGAGCCCAGCTGTCAGTCAGTGAAGCTTCATGATGGCTCCTGTGATGCTGGTGAAGATGAAGTTGATCCTCCGGGAGTGACTGGCGTTCGTTGGCGGTCGTGTTTGTTTACCTCTGGATGAGCCGTGAAGCAGCGTGACGCTCTGTTCTTTTGCTCATGTGGGTCAGTTTAGGAGCTGATCTGTTCAGACTGATGTCGCATACAGATCACATTTAAAAGACAATCTGAACAGCCAAACAAAAAAAATCAGATTTGGGCCACTTTTACCTGCTGTGTGAACATTAGGGCCAATACTGACCCAGTATCGGATCAGTGCACGACTAGATTAAACTGACTCTTGATTGCATCCTGAAGATGTAAGTAAACTTTCGTTCACACTGGAGTGACGTTTTAATCTTCATAAGGCAGCGAATTCAGTCAAAAATTAAATAAAATGAAGTTAACAAGGAAGCTACTTAACAGACCTGAAGACAGCACATTACAATTTTCTCAAGGCACCAGTATTATCAGACAGAAATAAGTGTTCTCAATCAATGCACATAGAAAAGTAATGAGCCTCCAGAGAACATGACAACGGGTCTGATAAATTACCATGCTAACATTAGAAGCAACCTTTCTGCACAGCTATAAAAGGATCCAACACAAATCCATTACATGTGACTTGGGGGGGGGGATGATTAGTTCAGTTATACACCGATTAGGCATAACATGTCATCAGGCATATGACCACCTCCTCGTTTCTACGCTCATTGTCCATTTTATCAGCTCCACTTACTATATAGGTGCACTTTGTAGTTCTACAGTTACAGACTGTAGTCCATCTGTTTCTCTGATACTTTGTTAGCCCCCTTTTACCCTGTTCTTCAGTGGTCAGGACCCCCATGGACCCTCACAGAGCAGGTACTATTTTGGTGGTGGATAATTCTCAGCACTGCAGTAACACTGACGTGGTAGTGGTGTGTTAGTGTGTGTTGTGCTGGTACGAGTGGATCAGACACAGCAGTGCTGCTGGAGTTTTTAAACACCTCAGTGTCGCTGCTGGACTGAGAATAGTCCACCAACCATAAATATCCAGCCAACAGCGTCCTGTGGGCAGCGTCCTGTGACCACCAATGAAGGACTAGAGGATGACCAACACAAACTGTGCAGCAGCAGATGAGCTATCGTCTCTGACTTTACATCTACAAGGTGGACTGACAAGGTATGAGTGTCTAATAGAGTGGACAGTGAGTGGACACAGTGTTTAAAAACTCCAGCAGCACTGCTGTGTCTGATCCACTCAGACCAGCACAACACACACTGACACACCACCACCATGTCAGTGTTACTGCAGTGCTGAGAATGATCCACCACCCAAATAGTACCTGCTCTGTGAGGGTCCATGGGGGTCCTGACCGAACAGGATAAAAGGGGGCTAACAAAGTATGCAGAGAAACAGATGGACTACAGTCTGTAACTGTAGAACTACAAAGTGCACCTATATAGTAAGTGGACAATATGCGTAGAAACAAGGAGGTGGTCATAATGTTATGCCTGAAGGGTTATATACCGTCTTGCTGGACCATTTGCGAGTGCATTTCTGCTGCTTGACTTCTCACCAAGTTTCCATTCACAGCAATGGTTCTATGAACTGCTGGCTAACCTCTCGGTGAAGCTAGGGCAAACAGGCAGTACATGAAAAGAAAACCACAATAACACAATTACAGTCCAAATGAAATATGACTACGTCGTTTAGCAAACAGACACCTTTATGAGTAAAAACACTGATGTGTTTTTTTTTTAGGTGCTTTTTTCGTCATAGGAGCTGTCTTGCTGGCTAAGACCACAAAAAGTTGCAGAATGCACAAGTGACCTGATAAAGAAATGCAAAAAGAAAGTCATGAAATTCAAATGCCACCTTAGAGTTCCCCCTAAGAAGTTTCCACTTTGTCAGCCCATTTCGTCCCGATGAGTCAGGATGAGAAATAACTAGACTAGCAAATCTTCATCCCATCACGCTGACTGCTTCAGCCGAAACCTCATATCTAGAAAAATCTAGAAATGTGGTCAGGTTTCCGTTTTTCAAGTTGAAGTGTCAGAGAGTATGTTGCACCCCCCATTGGTTAAGCCAAACGCACATGGAGTCCACTGTCTAATTCAGCAACTTATATGATAAACTACAGTTTGAAAGTCATTAGGAAACTTTTTTAATGTTAAATTCAAAACATACCATGAACCAAGTTCTAAAGCCATTAAGCCTTTTATCTGAATGTGATCAGCATTTCGCTGCTGTAAGAACAAAACCTCGTATCTCCAAAATGGTAACTTAACAGGAGAAGGAAAAAACCTACTTTACTTTTAATGTAAGTCAATGGAACCAGACGTCTTTCCGAGTCATTTTGGGCCGCTTCTTTTGGTCCACTCATCATATAATTCACAAACAACGTAAAGGCCAACAGGCACTTTCATATTACGTCAAAAAATGAAAAACGACAAAAAATGGAGATGTTTTCTTCCGACAGCAGCAATTTACTGAGCCCACCACATCTTAATGAGCTACCAAGACTTAAACGTTTAAAAAAATGCCCCACATCTTGAATTAAAGTTTCTATAACATGGAAAAAACACATTTTTCTTACTTTATTTTTTTTGAAAAAGTGAAAAAGTTTGAGGTAGCACTTAAAGCACTTTTAACGCAGTCTTTACAGGCCACGTCGGAAAACTAAGCCGGAAAACGGTTCGTTCTGAACACGTCGTTTTTGTGATGTCACAAAGCGAATGCATTTACATACATCTGCCTTTGCAGCCTACAGCAGTTTAGCCCTGCCTATTCATGTTGAAGTTACACGGTGAAGACTGCTATTGAATGAGACACACTACATGTCAGCCAATCAGAGCAGCGGTCATTTGCATAGATCAGTCTTAAAGGCACAGTAACAAAAACAGCCTGTTTAATTCTAAGAGATAAAAGCTTTTTGGTACATAAACCCCATAAGTGGACCTCAGGGTCTTAGATATGGGCCCTTTAAGGCTCCCAGGACACGGTTCCCCAAATAAGCAACAGCTTAATATACAGTATACATACAACCCGAGACGCAAAATCCCTTGAGGAACATCTCTGCTGGCTTAAAGAGAAGCACCGAGGGATGTTGACTGCATTCTTAATCAGCTTTGCCTGATTACAACTGGCGATACGCTAGATAGGTCCAGTCTCGGCCAGAACATGCAGCCTTCGGCTTGATGGGAAATGCCGAAATATTGCTTTAACACTTCCTCTGATTTCGGCAGACCATCATCTGTAAATGCAAAGCGGAGATTTATCATGTGGTTGTGGCCTTGCACACCTCGTTGACACCTTAGTGTCTATTTGGCTAATTTAAGGCTTATGTGTCACCGGTGCTGGCGCAACAGAATGTAGGCCATGGAGAATAGAAAAAGGAATTGAAAGCTCTCTTCTAGCCACCAAAGAGCGTTTTAGATTTTACGTGAAAACCATCTCTTCCATTTAAAATAACCTTAATAAGTAATTAAGTTCAGAATTGTCATTTCAGCCGGATCAGTAGTGAAAAACACACCAAGTTAACAGCATCTTAAAGATTAATAATAGTAGCAACAACTTGTTTACTGCAGTTCGTAACGTTAAACCAAAGGAAAAACATCCCAGAGGCCTTCAAGTAAATCTACTTTAAGGATAAACAGTGTTGATACACCACTGCCAACAGGTTAAGCTGCTTCATAAACTTCTAAAACTTAGCTTTTGTGAAGGATAAGGCCACTATAAGCCAGAAATTTGAGCTGATGTGGAGTAGTAACACCCTAAATAGAGATTTCAGGCTTCAGTATTGGTAAAATAGTGATATCTCACTGGGTTTTTTTTGAACTGCAGTCCAAAAGTGCTCACATCTCACATCCTCGAGTCTATCAGTAAGCTATGAAAGCTATATATCTGTATGCTTCTTATGTATTATTATTATTATTATTATTATTATTATTAATATACTGAGACATGTAGTGATGTGTAAACTGTAACCTGTCCCGCTTCTTTTCGCCCTCTCTGGATGAACATAGGACCCGAACCAAACCCATGTCCCCCAGTTAAAAGACCCAAAGCAGCTCTGTCTGATGGGCTCCATGAGTTTCACAACAAAAAACGTTTTTATTACATTTATTAAAGCTGGAAAGACTTTTAAACGTATTATGTTATCGCTAAGTATGTTATTTAGCAGCGGTAGCATTAAATTCCTCTCACATTTCGGCTGAATCTCTCACTGATCAGTGTTTTATTAAGATATTTTCTAGAATCTAATGTTACAGAGTGGACAGTAGATGCCAAGCAGCTACCACAGCTCCCAGTTTCGTCGCTGGACAGTTTAAATGTTAGATTCTGTGACCTCGAGTCAAAACCGAACAATGCTAGCAGACCAGCTAGAAGAAAGCAAGCCACAAGGGAGCAGCCCAGCCCCTCTGCGCGAAAGGAGCGGTTTAATAATAACAGGCTGTGACTAAAACAAACTAAATCTGTATTAAAGACCACGTTTGTGGATAAACTGGCCGCAGCCGTCGCTGGCTACACCGTTAGCTTAGCATAGCCAACGTTAGCTACCTACCCCTCGCGCCCGGCCCAGAATTAACGGACAAAACTTCTCGTCTCCGGCTAGAGTGGCTGAAAATTCCTCCTCGCCTTGAGGGACCCGACCATTCCACGCCGAATATCGCAGGAAGGCTTCAGGCAACGCAAACAAACCTAAATATATCCACAGAAATATTTTAAATATACATATATTTTTACGCTGAACTCCACCGCAACCTCCTTCCACAGCCCTGCTCTGCTGTCACTCTGCGGCGGTGTTATTTCTTTGCCCACCCGCATTGCGGACAATCCCGCCTTCCTTCGTTAGGATTGGCTGGTGCGTTGTGACCCCTTGCGCTAGGATTGGCTACTTTGGCAGAGCGCTGTGAGCATGGACTACTAACCAATCGGAGAGAAGGAGAGGGGAATCTGCAAGCCAATCAGAAGCAGAAAAAGGCGGGATCTGTGCAAAACAGGTAGGAAAGTGAACGCGCAGAAGCAGCTTCAATAAAAGTCTCAGCATTGTTTGAGGTTGAGGCGAAGTTTTAGTAATAATGAAGCTGTTTAAAGTGTATATACATAAACACATATCTCGCTGTTGGTGGAAGAAAAGCTCATATCTCCAAAATGGCAACTTTACAGGAAAAGGTAAAAACCTACTTTACTTTTAATGTAAGTCAATGGAACCAAACATTTTTCCATGTAATTTTGGGTCATTTCTTTTGGTCCATTTATCATCAAATTTGCATAGAATGTAAAGGGTAACAGTTATTTCTATATACATATATATATATATATATATATATATTTACATATATATATATGCAACTCATATGCAACTCATGTAAACCATATTTTTATAGGAAAGTACTACAAACACAACATTTTATTGTTTTTTGAAAATATGTGCCCATTTTAAATTTGACACAAACAACACGTTTCAAAGTAGTAGTTTAAAAGGAGAGAATTCAAATAAAAAAACTGCATTACTTATTTTAATCATTTAAAAATTTTTTGTTTATTTAAATATTTTACAGTTTTTCATTGGTATTTTACCATCCAGAGACGACGAGAACTAGATTGGTGCACGAAAATAGTTCTCGTAGTTAGGCTCCATAAACTGTGCTC